TGTGTGAAGATAGGGTCTCGAAAACTATTTGCCAGGGCTGATTTCAAACCACAATCCTCCTGATCTCTGCCTCGTGAGTAGCTGAGATTACAGGTCTGAGCCATGGGTACCTATCTCATCTTCACATCTTGTTTTTGTACTAGGTAACCATGCATTACCTCTTTATAAAATGATGAAATCTTTGCTCTATCCTACCACTATAAAATGTTGTGAGAATAAGGTTAACTGTGAAGGTCTTTAGTTGAATGAATAAAAGAAAGAATGACAAATTGAGATTTTTTTCTGTAGTTTCTATTGTAATTTTATGGGTAGTTGAGATTGTTGTTTTGAAGTTGGGTCTTACATTGCCCAGGCTGGTATCAAACTCCTGGGCTCAAGGATCCTCAAACCTCAGCCCACCCAAGTAGCTGGCACTAAAGCCACAGCACCACACCCCACTGGGAGGATGAAGTCTTAAGTTTACCCTGACGCAGTCAATAGCAAGGAGGTGAGATGTCAGCTTATAAACAGATTTGGTGATCAATACATATAAAGGGGAATAAAGTAAGATTTGTGTCTACAACTTTTTTTGAGTTGCTTTTAGGTATAAAGTAACTGACAGGATAATCTCTGAGGTCCCTCTCCAAACCATTTTAGTAGGACTAGGTTTGAGCTGATGCATCTTTAGCTGCCAACTGTCTTCCTTTGTCATTGAGTGTGGACTCCTGAGCGGCAATAACAACCCAGGCTGGGCACTGTATATCAGGGTTGCAGAGTCATTCTAATAACTAGTCAAGGCAACCAAGATGACGGGTAAGAACTTTGACCTCAGTAGCACTGCATTTCAACCAACAGCAATGACTAAACAGAATAGAATAAGCCATTTCAACAGATGTCCACGTGGCATCTGTGACCCAGGTACTTTGATAGGTGCTGGAGTTACAAGGATACTTAAGAAACTGCCCTTGGCTTTGAAGCAATTGTAGTCTAATTAAGGAGAATACCACAATACTATTGGAGCAGCTATATAAAACTTTCAAATTGTAAATTTTTTTTTTCTTTTTGTGAGACTGGAGTTTGAACTCAGGGCTTTCCACTTGCCAAAGCAGGTGCTCTATCACTTGAGCCACACCTCCAATCCTCTCAATTTTGCTCTGGGATGGGATTTTGGAGATGGGATTTTATGAACTATTTGCCTGGGCTGGCCTGGTCCCTCAGTTCTCCCAAGTAATAGGATTATAGGTATGAGCCACCAGCACCCAGCTCAAATTACAAATTCTAAGAGAAATGAGTTAACCTTTATTGGGCATGTATTATGTGCTAGGCACTATGCTAGGCATATTTCTCATGTCATCTCTTTTATATATGTTCATTAATAAATCAATATGATGTATATGTATTTATACTTATTAGAAATACATGTTTGTACTTATATGTATACAGTTACATAATAATGTGTGTTGATGGCTTTTATTCTACTGGATATGGTGATGCTTCCCATACTGCTGAGTAGAGCTACATATGTACATGAGTAAATGTCTACATTTTATATATATATTCATATGGTTATATGTATGCTGATAATGTTCTACAGTTATATCTCTGGTGTGTATATATAGATACAGATATTCATTCAACAAACAAAGCTGTCTTGGTGGAGAATGCTAAAGGTCTTAGTCTAGCATTGAAGATCTGAGAGAGACATCTCCAGATCTGGCCTGGTGTTGGTCCAAAGTTCCCTGGCTGACCTTTGACCTCAGATTTTGCCAGATTCTTGCCTTGCCACATGTCATCTCTTTTAATATAACATGAATGTTATGAAACAGGCATTATTATTGTGCATCTTTTTACAGAATAGGAAACTAAGGTTTAAACAACACTGCCCAATAGAACTTTCTGCAACAATGGAACATTCTAGACCTATGCTGTCCAATCAGTAACCAGTAACTACTACGTGGCTCTTGAGACTTAAAATGTGGTTAGAGCAACTGAGTGGCCAAACCTGTATTTTCTATTTGATTTTAATTTTTATAACCATCTAAGTTCTCTTAGATAGCTTGAGCTGACTCTAATCCTCAACCTGTACAAGGTTCTATAGATCTGACCTCCATTACCTCTGCTCACTCCTGTTTTATCTCTCCTTATACCTTATTCTACCCACACTGGCTTCCTTCCAGTCCTTTGGACACACCTCATGTACCCTGCTCCTGAATGGCTCTCTCCTTGGCCTCCTTCTCAAATCTTTGCTCAGATGTCTCTTTTGTAGAAAGACCTACTCTGACCATCCCTCACCTCCCAGTCTCCCTTAGCCTGCTTTTTCTATACACTCACTATTGCTAACATGCTTTGACACTATTATTGTTATTATTGACTGTCCTCTCACCTCATCTGGTGTCATGAAAGAGATTTTTATCTCCTTGTTTACTGCTGTATTCCTAGTGCCACGAATTAGTATCCAGAATCTAGTAGTCTCAGTAAACCCTGGTTCATTGATTTAAACCAATAGGATTCACATCTGGCCTGCTTACACCAGAACCTCTGTTTTATTCACTACCACCTTCTTCCTGTTAGTGAGTATAATGTTATTCCCAAAGGGAATCAGAGAAGCCTCATTTGAAAGGAATAGGCAAGAGAAAGCAAGTATTGCTAATTTGTCTAGTTCACTGAAGCATTTCATGTCTTTAAGGAAATAAACTGCTACTTGAAACAACTGCTTTATAAAGGGCAGTCCAGAGGAGCACACCAGCTCTATTTCAAGCACTGTATTAGGGCTAAGAATATAGCTCAGTAGTGGACCACTTGCCTAACATGCACAAGACCCTAGGTTTGATCCCCAGCACCAGAAACAAACACAAACTTACAATGTTAGTCTTTGCAGTTAAAAGGCGTCTTAGTATTGTCTTCAAAGGCAGGAAGAGAACAAACTTCAACTCCTTTGATCATTAGAGCCTGGTAGAGCCCAGCAATTGAAGATGCTTGTCCTAAATGGATACCACTCTCCCTTGTCATCCAGCCGGTTCTGATCACTCTCTGGAATTTCAGCTTGCTTTGGGTAAGGGTAGAGTCGTCCCTACATTCTCTAGGGGGATACCCCAGAAACCTTCTATTCACTTGTGATCTTGTGGGCCAAGAAGAGAATCTCTTAGTAAAAAAGGAGGCTAGCCTCTGGAATCAGAAGACAGGCAGAAAGAAAAACCTTGTTGCATCTCATTTTTCTTTATTACTCCATTTAACCTGGCAATACTAACAGCCAAAAGTGAAATATTTATATATAAAATAAACACAGCCTAAAGCTGTTCTTATATCTTACCCACCCATAGTGAATTAGAATTTATTTTACTATTTATAACTCTACCTTTTTCCTCAAAGAACTCATTAGACCTGGTAATAGCCTCTATTTTTCAAACTTCTATGTACCCCATGCAGTAATGCTTTATGTACATTATTATTAGTCAAAGCAACTCTGAGAGAGTTACAGAAACTGAGACTTAGAGAGATAGGGTAAACTTGCTCAAGGTCTACTGCCAGCAAGTGCAAAAGCTGCTGTTGGCCAGGTGTTATAGGACACATCTGTAATCCCAGCACTTGGGAAGCTGAGGCAGGAGGATCACAAATTCAAGTCCTGCCTGGGCTACATAGCAAGACCCCATTTCAGGCTGGGTACTGATGACTCACATCTATAATCCTAGCTACTCAGGAGGCAGAGATCAGGAGGATCATAGTTCGAAGCCAGCCCTGGCAAATAGTCCATGAGATCCTATCTGGAAAAAGCCCATCACAAAAAAGGGCTGGTGGAGTGGCTCAAGGTGAAGCCCTGAGTTCAAACCTCAGTGCCACAAAAAAAGTAGTCATGTGAACTGATAACCCCAGGTGAGTGAGTGAGGTTTGCTGGTGTTACCATGTCCTTCATTACCTTCCTCCCCATGCTAGTCTGCTCTCTCAACTGTCCTCCCTCCAATTCATCTGTACTTGCAGCTATCTTTTAAATGGTGTGAGTCTGATTGAAATGCTGTCCTGCTGAGCAACCAGCTCAGTTCAGACCACCCTGCCTCTCCTCCTCTTGTCACCATCACTACATCCTGCCCTCTGCCCTGCAGGGTTTGTCTTTACAACCATGTACTTGCACGTAGTGTTCTTTCTGGTAAAAACATCCAGCTTATTTGTTGGTTGTACTGAAGCTGAGGGTGGTAGTTTTATCTTGATTACACATAGTAACTTATTTTTACCACTATTATAGAGCTTACATTGTGTTTTAGTTAACTATTTATGTGTCTCTCCACTTGACTTTGAGTTCCTTAAAGGTAGGATAGTGATCTGTTCATTTGCATTTCCACATCTAACATCATTGCTGGCACATAGAGATATAGAGTAAATATGTACTGGGCTGCTCCATGGTAGAGTGCATGCTTAGCATGTTCTAGGCCCTAGATTCAATCCCCAACTCCAAATAAATCAATGTGCATCAACTCTTCCAGAATACATGGCATTTATAAAGTTTGGTTCCATTTTCTGAAGGATTCCACCTCCATGAACATGTGGCCAATAGCTTTTATTATTTTACTGTAGTCTCATTGAACATGAGTCAGAAATTTAAAAGGCAAAGTTGATTTAACCCAAAAAGGAAATAAGAGAGGCATATAACCGGGATACCTTTATACTAGTGTTTTTATCTTGCCTTCTGATAAAAGATTCTGATTGCTTTTCAACTTAACACAATGCACCCTAATCATGGCCTGAGGACTGCCATGGAGGAGAGCTGCATTCCTGAAAAGTTCTCCCAAGAGGTTCTAACAGGTTCCTCTGGGTTTGAACAGCAGCATTCTAAATTTACTCAGGCTGAGGGCCCATTTAGTCTAAATGGCTAAATCTCTTCTTTTCTCCACAGGGAAACAACTGGAAGGCATCTGGTAAGTGGGGTGGGAAACCTTATATTCACTGCTTTATGAAACAAGGCAGCACTCCATACCATTCAAGTGCAGCCTGTGGCTCCCAGCTTGAAACCCAGCTCTTTTTGTTGTTAATCTCCAGTTCCTAAAACAGTGCTCATTTCACTACTGTGATTTTGCGCCCTCCCTGACAGGACATTTGGCAGTGTCCAGAGACTTTTCACAACCAGCAGGAATATGCTACTAGCATCTAGTAGATGGAGGTCAGGAATGTTACTCGACATCCTATACACAGGACAGCCTCCCACAGCAGATTGTCCAGGCTCAACAGTGCCAAGGCAGAAGCACCCTGAGCTGTGGTAGTCAGCCCTCTGTATCCACAAACACAACCCACTGCAGATTGAAAATGGTCACAAAAAGTGATATGTGTACTGAACATGTACAGACTCTTTTTCTTATCACTGTCCCCTTAATAATAGAGTGTAACACTACTACATAGCATTCACACATTGTATTGGGTATTACAGATAATCTTGAAATGACTTAAGGTATACTTGAGGATATGCAAATACTACAACATTTTATGAGGAACTTGAGCACCTGAAGACTGGTATCTTCAGGGGAGAGAGTCTGGAAGCAATTCCCCCTTCCCATATGGACCACATTTAGCTTATTCATAGCCTTATTGGTTAGCTTTGTAAGGCTGGTCACCACAGTCACATCATTGAGCAGAAATTATTCTCATTGCAGTGTAGTGCTTGCTTTTTTCTTGGACAGGTTTTAAGTTTGTGGGCTCACTGTGTCTCTCTGTGTGGCAGGCACACCTCCATAGTTGTGCACAAGGATGAGTTCTTCTTTGGCAGTGGCGGTATCTCCAGCTGTCCCCCGGTGAGTGTCTTCCCCCACACCTTGACCTTCAGTCTCAGCTTCCTAGGAGTTCCCACAGACCAAAAATTTTGCTTCTCCTATCTACCTCTGATCTCTGGCCCAGTTTATGGAGGAGACTTGTGGAATAGTTACTCATACTTTAAAGACTTCATTCAAGGACTGTGGTTGTGGCTTAGTGCTAGCATACTGAAGGCCCTTGGTTCAATCTCCAGTGCTCCCCCCTCCAAAAAAAAAAAAGTTAAGAACCCAGGCACCAGTGGCTCATGCCTATAATCCTAGCTACTCAAGAGGCAGAAATCAGGAGGATCATGGTTCGAAGCCAGCTTAGGCAAATAGTTTGCAAGACCCTAGTTCGAAAAAAAAAACACACAAAAAGGGTTGGTGGAGTGGCTCAAGTGGTAGAATCCTTGCCTAGCAAGTGTGAAACCGAGTTCAAACCCCAGTACCACCAAAAAAAAAAACTAAAAAAAAAAACAAAAAACAGATGGGGAGGGGAGAAAAAGACTTGTTCAAAAATACCTTTCCCAGGCTGTTTCTCAGTGACTTAGTATTTGCCTAATATGCACATGGCCCTAGGTTTGATCTCCAGTACCACAAAATAAATCAATATATAAACAAACACCTTTCCCAGATGCCCCAGCAAGTTGCCTCCTCTACACTCCACCTGTGGATCTCCCTGTCTCACACTGAGCAGGCCATAGTGATAGGGGCTGCTTGAGTCTCAGCTCACAAGGAGCTAGATCCCAACCCCAGCACAATACCTGGCTTACAGTAGGAACCCCACCTGTGTTGCGCTGAACAATAAGAGATAAAGTGAGTTGCCCAAAGTTACACAGACTGTGAGTGGCAGTACTTCTAGAACTCAAGTCTCTGTGATTCTAATGCCATGCCCTTTTCCAGAACATTTCTGTCAGAGCTATGGGTCATCATAATAGGTACTCAAGCAAACACCAAGCAATCATTCATTTTGATAGTCATAAATGGGAAGTCATTCTTGATTTCTTCCTCTCTCACCTCTTACCCAACCCCTTATAACAAATCCTTCATTAAGCCTAGTCAATTCTACCTTGTAAATGCATCTTAAATCAGTCCACCTCTCCCCATCTCTTCCCATTTCTCCAGAACTTTCACCTTTGTGCTGGCCACCTCATGTCTAACATGGACCTGTGGCAGTAGCCTCTTCCTGGTCTCCCTCCTCTGTCTTTCACATAGGAGGCCAGATGATCTTTACAAAGGATTTCACTGCTTTGGCCAGAATTCTCCCCATTGATCCAGGAATAAAACCCAGCTTGGCCTCCAAAACCCTTTGTGATCTGGTCTCCGTCTCCCTCTCTGGCTGGCCTCTTTTCAGGTTGTACCTACCCCAGCCTTCTTCTCATTCTTGAGCACACGACATTTAAACCTGTACTCTGACCTCAGTATACCTCCTTGATCCTTCACCTGCTATGCCCTTCTCTCCTTCAGATCTGAACTCAATGTCATTTTTCTCAGGCAAGACTTGCCTGACCCCTCAAACTGTGAAGGTCCTCTGTCCTATATAAAGTACATTCTGTACTTTTCTAGCATGACCTTTATTGTGGCTTGTAATTACACACTGATTTATGGGATTTTTTTTCTTTTTGTCTGCCTTCTCTGCTAGACTATAAGTTCCATGAGGGCAAGAATCTCATCTGTTTTGTGTACATCATACCACCAGTGCCTAGCATAAAGCACAGTACATAGTAAGTTCTCAATGATTATTTGTCATATGAGTGAATAGTAGGGTCCAACAGTGACCTTTTAGTCTCTTACAACTCTGAGATAATTGTCCCCTAACAACCGTAATTACCTGTCTCTCACCAAGCTTTCTCCGATGCCTGTATCAATGTCAGCCACATAGGAGGTGCTCAGTGGCTATAAATGAATGACCTTTCCAGGCAACTCTGCTCTGGGGTGTTCTCCCTTCCAGGATCTGCCCTCCTTGATCTTCCTGTTGCTTCCTCTGACTGGTATCCCTGCTGGGCTTTTGGTCTCTCCTTTAGTCTCCTGCGGTGGTATATTAGCTCTGTGACTGAGGTTGTCTCTAGGTCTCTCAGGCCAGCAACTGCCCTGCCCTGTAACCATCTGTAGATTAGCCTCACAGATCAAAAACGCACTAAATTCTGGAAATCATTGCTCCCCTGCTACAGTTCTCATGGCCCTTCACATTTTCATGTTGTTATCAAGGACATCCAGTGCGTCACAAGAGAAACTGGCTGTGTGCTTTCGGAACATAGGCCATTTCTAGTTGTCCTGTTCTGTCCTAGTGATCAGGCATGTTGGGGACAAAAGGAGACTGCAGATTCTGGGTTTCTTTTTATCAACTGAATGAGTGGACAGCATAAGGAGTTGGACTTGCAAGAGAATCAGCTTCCCAGGCCCCGCCAACAGTAAGAAGCCCCATTTCTTAGCTATTCTGCCAGCACATGGCAATAGGAAGCTCTAAGCCATTATAACCTTGATATGAACAGAAGCAACCCTCTTTATCTGCCTGGGGTGCTCTGAAAGTTAAAAATGAAGTTGTTGGAACAGAGCATGTATGGCCTTGTATAGGAAGCTACATTTAAAAATTCAAAGGAGGGCCTGGCGCCAGTGCGTCACGCCTGTGATCCCAGCTACTCAGGAGGCAGAGAGCAGGAGGATCGACGTTTGAAGCCAGCCTGGGCAAATAGCTCACAAGACCCTATCTCAAAAAATACCACACAAAAAAGGGCTGGCAGAATGACTCCGGCAATAGAGTGCCAGCCTAGCAAACATGAGGCCCTAAGTTCAAACCCCAGTACCACCAAAAAAAATCAATAAATAAAACTCAATGGAGGGCTGGAAGGGATAGCTCAGTAGTGAAGTACTTGCTAGCATAGCGAGACTCTGGGTTCCGTCCCCAGCAGGTGGGGGGAAAGAGAATTCACTGGAGATGGTGATCTAGTGACTTTCTTGGGATTGGCTTTTTTAGGGAGGAACATTGCTTGGGCCCCCAGACTCTGTGGTTGATGTGGGAAGCACAGAAGTCACAGAAGAAATCTTTCTGGAGTACCTGTCCTCCCTGGGGGAGTCTCTGTTCCGGTAAGTGGGGTAGTGATTGGTTGTGTCTGTCTCCCTGGCTAGATAATCCCCCCTCTCCTGAACACTCAGCACAAGTAATACCAGGCCTTCCCCATTCTTTGCTGAATGAATACAAAAAGAAGGCAGTTAACATCCTACAAAGAGTCCAAAGTTATTCCAAGGCTGATGTTCCATCCCAGCATGCTCTCTGCTGAAACTTCTACAGGAAAGAGGAGCTATTTATTTTTTTCAGATTAAAATCAACCAATGTTGTTTTCAACCTCTACTGGCTGAATGCTGTCTTTTGTGTGTTTGTGTTGTTGGAGCATGAACTCAGGGACTATACCTTGAGCCACTCCACCTGCCCTTTTTTGTGATGGGTTTTTTCAAGATAGGGTCTCACAAACTATTTGCCCAGGCTGGCTTCAAACTGCAATCCTCCTGATCTCTGCCTCCTGAGTAGCTAGGAGTACATGCGTGAGCCACCAGCACCTGGCTTGAATGCTTTCTCCTGAATATCAAAAGCAGGGTTTGTATCAGGAGTGGGATAACATACCAACTGAAGCAAGTTTTCTCTTATGAAGGTTTAATTGATTTCCAAAACACTTCAACTCTAACCCAAGAGCTCTGCTCTTGTGAATGTAAAGATTCTGAAATTGTGTAGGAGCCATTTTCAGTTCACCCTTCCTTTATAGATCAGTTCTTAAAGGTCCAGAGTGGCAGACCAAGCATTCCTTTTGGCATGTTTGAGAGGGCCAGTTGCGCCCTTCATATTCAGCTGTGGTCACCTTTCCACCCCTGGAGCAAGTTATGCCCCACAGGTGCTTGCTGGCTTTCTCATCTGCTCTCCAAACTGTTCTTGAATGTACAGAGGTGAAGCCTACAACCTATTTGAACACAACTGTAACACCTTTAGCAATGAAGTTGCACAGTTCCTGACTGGGCGGAAGATCCCTTCTTACATCACTGATCTGCCCTCTGAAGTTCTTTCCACGTAAGTATGACCTCTGTCTCTGCCCCTGCCTTGACCAACCTTGAAAATCCCCACTCATACTCAGTGCCCTCCCCTAGACTACAGCTGTCTTCCCCTCATGGCAGCAGAATCCTCCCAACCAGGCAGACCTGTCCTAGTGGTAGGTTGTACCACAGAAGGCCACCCACTGGTATGCATCAGTTCACCTCCATCCTCCTTGGAGTAGGACCAACTCTACCCTGGCCTCAGTGCCACCACAGAACTTAGAAACCCACTTGACGCTGGGCTCAGTATTTGGACAGAATCCTGGCACCTGATACATGAAGCCATTCCCCTAAAGTGTCCAGTTAAAATGCAGTGTTAGGTAGCCTGCAGAGAGGAGGTCAGGAATATCAAGGCAGCTTGTTTTGTAACTGTTGTATGTCTTTCTTCCACTATACCCTGAGCAATTTGACTCCCTGAAAGACCAGGTTCTACTTGCCCTTGAACCTTATAGTGCAGGGTCAGCCCTCAGTTGAGGTTTCCTTTCTTCCTTTTTTTTTTTTTTTTGGCAGTACTGGAGTTTCAACTCAGGGCGTTGTGCTTGTGAGACAGGCATCCAATCACTGGAGCATATCCCAGCCTACTTGAGGTTCTCTTTAAGGGTACTTTGTAGTCTTTTGTCCTGACGTGGCCCTGCATTGAGCCATCATCTAGGTGGTGCTGTGTCCTGACAGGACATATACCCCCAAAAAACACTTCATCCCTTCCCTCCCTTCACTGTTGATTGTGTCAGGCAGCCTCTGCCCACCCTAGGACCATGTCTACTGGCTGCCTCTGATTCAGTTTCCAATTTCTCCTGGACTGGGGTCCTGCTCAACAGGGATCCTGGCAGGTTTAGCTGGCTCTGCAAAGGAAGCTGTTTTTTACACCTGGGTAGGAACCTCTCAGGAAAACTTGCATAGGAACAAGGCTGCTGAGGAGCCCCGGTCTCCTAGCTTTGTCCCTGCCTTCCTGTCCCCTGGTATATGTGTGAAATCCCACAGTCCCTGTTGAGGTTATGGGACCCTAAGCAACCTTAAGTAGCTGGAATGTTCTTGCTATTATTTGATAGGTAGAATTCCTGGACTGTCTGCATTAGAGTTGATATTTCTTGGTTTTGTCTGTTTACACTTTGGTGTACTTCATTCCCTTGAACTTAGGGATGATTTTCAAAAATGGCAGTATCTAGGCTGGGGACATAGCTCAAAAGGTAGAGAGCCTGCAGTGTCTGAGATGTGTTATAGTCAACCTCATTTAAAGGTACTGTATACTTTGGCTTTTTGTTTGTTTGTTTTTGGTGGTACTAGGGCTTGAACTCAGGGTCTCATGCTTGATAGGGAGGTGCTCTACAACTTGAGCCACTCTGCCAGCCCTTTTTGTTGTTGTTGTTGTTGGGTATTTTTGAGCTAAGGTCTCACAAACTATCTGCTCAGTCTGGCTTCGAACCTCAATCCTCCTAATTTCTGCCTCCTGAGTAGTTAGGATTATGGCATGAGCCACCAGCACCCAGCAAGGGTGCAGTATTCTTGGAAAGTCTCCAGACTTCAGTATTTGCAGTGATTTTTCCAGCTAAGTTAATATTTTTTTCAGCTAAGTTAGTATGAAAGCAATCTGGGAGTTTTTTGTTTTTTTTTCCTGGTGGTATTGAGGGTTTGCATTTAGGGCCTCCAGCTTGCTAAGCAGGTGCTTCATCATTTGAGCCACACCTCCAGTCCCTTCCCTGGAGCTCTTTAGAAACTAACATCAACACCTTGGAAACTTGGCATTGGTCATTTTTCCTGAATATTCCTTGTAATGCCTGCAAGACCTAATCTCATTGTGCATCATTCTTTTGATTTTAGTTTCATCATACCCTTTCTTTTGTCTCAGCTTCCTTGTTATAACTATTTTTAACTTCTTCACAAGAATCAAAGATACAAGTAGCCAGGCATCATTGGATTAAATAATCCTATATACTCAGGAGTCAGAGATCAGGAGGATCATGGTTCAAAGCCAGCCTGGGCAAATAGTTCATGAAACCCTATCTCAAAAAAACCCTTCATAAAAAAGTACTGGTGGAGTGGCTCAAGGTGTAGGCCCTAAGATCAAGCCCTAGTATCACAAAAAAAATTTAAAAAACAACCAACACAAAAAAGACCTGGTAGAGTGACTCAAGAGATAGAGTGCCTGCCTAGCAAGCATGAAGTCCTGAGTTCAAACTCCAGTACCATTTAAAAAAATAAAAAAAAGATACAAGTACATCAAATACAGAGAACTCTAGTTTCTTAAAGGTGTTGGCAATAAGATAATAAGACCACTGAAGGACCCCAGGAGTAAAGACGTAGAACAGGCTATTTAAGGTACTCTGCATTAGTCAGTTTTCTGTTATTGTAACATATCTGGGATAATAAACTTTGTAAGGAGGAAAAGTTTATTTTCACTCACAGTAGCAGAAGTTTTAGTTTATGGTCACTTGGCCCTATTGCCTTTGGACCTGTGCTAAAGCAGTTTATCGTGGTGGAGAGTGCATGGTAGAGCAGAGTTCCTTTCCCCATGGTGGCCAGGAAGCAAAGAGAGGCAGAGGAGGGGCTGCAGTCCCATTATCCCCTTCAAGAGGATGCCCTTCATGACCAAAAGACCATCCGCCATGTTTTCACTGTTTAAAGTTTCCATTGCCTCCTTAATGTGTCATGCACTGGGGACCAAGAAGGATTTGGGAAACATTTATCCAAACCACCACCCCACCCATCCACCCACCCACCCCCACCCCGCTAAGAAAGCTATTCTATGAAGCTGTGAGAAAATTCAATGAGGTCCTAGGACCTTCCTTCTTCGTATGATGGTGCTCCCACGGTCACTTTCCCTGCCTGCTCACTATCTGTGGACAAGCCATACCCCCAGAGCTCGCCTAGCTCATGTCTGTTTCCCTACAGGCCCTTCGGACAGGCACTTCGGCCCCTCCTGGACTCCATTCAGATCCAACCTCCTGGAGGGAACACCGTGGGCAGACCCAACGGCCAAAGCTAACAGGACTGCACAGGACCACCTGCCTCTCCAGGGTTTTTCCTTTTTAAACAAAACAAACCCTACCAGATTTCTATTTTATAATTTTACATCAGAGCTAACAACCAGGGGATGGCTTTTTAACTTTCCAGGGAAGGAGATCATCAGGCTGCATGTAGGACAATGCTGCTAAGAAACAGAACAAAATGCCACCCCTTCTAATAGTATTATACTAATTTATTAAGGCTGTCTTGTCTGTGAGTTCACTTTTGACGCTGTTTCCTAAGCGTCCTCCACACTGGAGAAAGGGAGGGGGGTATGTTTAAACAGAAAGCCAGAGGAACAGTTTGGAGGAGCCCCAACCTAGAACCTCTGCAGAGAATACCCAGACTCTACCCAGGTTGCCACACTTGTGGGACCCAGGTGAGTTTTACAGCATCCATGACCCAGAAGCGCTCACTCTCCAGCATTAATGAACCAAAGGATTTGGTGCACATGGGACCAGTTGGAGGCTGACCAACCCAACCTAAGTGAACTCCTTAGCCATATGCTCTCACCTTCCCTCCCCTACCCCAAGCAAGTCCATGGGACCAGAGCTGAAGCAGCCAGAGCCTCAGAATCAAAAGAGTGACAGCAAGGATCAGGTCAGAGTAAACAGGATAAAGCCATTCCTCCTTCCACCTAGACTGATTGCCAATCCTCCACCATCAGTTTTGGAAAACCACCTTGCTGCCTGCCCATGAGGCTGCTCTTTGAGCATAGCTGACCTGTCACAGTTGCTGAAGTTCTGGGCTGAAGCAGCAGGCCTTCTGTCTGCAAATAATGATGTAGGTTATTTATAGCCACTAGAACTAGCCACCCAGACCAGTATGCAGTTTTCAGCTAAGGACCAAGGGAACATTGATTCTCTCCTCTAGGAAAACATCCCTCCCTGATGTGGAAAAAATAATGATGCAGAATCAATATGGCAAGAAAATTTAGAGTTGTTTCCAATAGCAACTTATACTAAGTGTGTTTGAAGGCACACATTATTTCTCTTGTCATTCTGACTTTAGGGACGCATGGTTGGGGGAGTGGTATAAGTGGCCATTTTCCTAATGATTTGCTGCTAGGAGTTCATAGGCAGGAACAGTTGGGAAGTCTCTAATCTGAAGAGGCTTTCAGATTCCTTTCTTCACACAAGCCTCCCACTAGTTAGGGAATGAGTGTGCAGAACGAACCCGAGCTTGCCTGAATCTTAGCTCTGCCACCTTAAACCTTCCTGCCATGGCTCCCTACCACTTCTAAAACTTGAGTTCAGTTGATCCTTCCTGGGGCAGGGGCCTTTCCTCCTTGAAAAGCTGCTATTCGTCCCTGGCCCCATCCCCTGCTGTATTTGCCATTAACCATAGCAGTTGGCATCATCAGGGTCTCAGCTAGAGGAAAAGATGTCATTCTGCTTAAGTGTTTGCCTGACCAGGGGCATATCCAGCTGACATGTCAAGTGACATTTTTTTAAGGTTGAGTGAGCAGTTTAATTCTTCTCAAGATCTACTGGTTTGCCAGTATGCCTGGCAATGAAAAGTTTGAGTGGAAACCAACAGGGATTAATATGACCTACCAGCAGAACTGGGGCCAAGGAGAATGGGTATCAGAGGCTGGGTTTCTTCTGGGAGGTCTCAAATTGGTGTAGGCCATTGCCCTGCCTCCTGCCCATGTTCTTTCCTTTTCCAACTTTCCTGGCCCAGCCTTCTCTTTCTGGTTCCTCCTGCTGACTTCTCTTCCCAGAGCTTTCATCTCTGTCTGGAGGGTGCTGGCTTCTCTCTGTTCTCCATGTCCAGGCTTATCTGGTTTTGCATCTCCCAACAGTGACCCTCAGACCCAGGGCTATTCTGAGAAGTATACCTGAAGTTCTGAGTGGTTTCCCTGAGAGAATTTGAGTCATTTGATTCCTTGAACAGCCCTCTTAAATGCCCAGCAGCCATCCATGCCAATGCCTGTGCTCTCGGGCTAGGGGGAGATGGAGGGATTGGTGAGCAGTCTCCCAGAGCTCTGAAAAAGAGGAGTGCTTCCTCCCTCGAGTGAGCTCCACTACCACTCAAGGTGGAGGCCCAGGCCAGGACCCCACCCCCCATCCCCATCCTCACATTTCTCTGCCTATCCCAGAACCTCAGGAGCATACTCATTGTGACCAGCTAACTCCATGTGAGCGTGTACAGGCAAGCAGAGTGGGAAATGAGCCATGTACTTGTGTCATACAGTGGACACCTCTGTAGAAGTCTATTGATTTAAAGGAACAAGGGAGGAAGAGGGATGAAACTGTCACCCTCTCCCATAATAAATAAAGCTTGAACCTTTGAGATTTCTGTATGCCCTTGAAGTCAAACTAATAATTATGTCTAGTAGGGAGGTGTTTGCTGGTTTTCATTGGTGATTTTCTAATGCAATAAACTCATTTCTGCCTGCTGTATTGGTGTGGCACTTGAATACCATCTGAGTGTGTGTCCAGCATGAAGCAACCCCAGGCTTCTCCATCTCTGCCCTTGAGCTTTACCTTGCTGAGTCTGGAAGTGCTGCCGTTGCTTTCATCATTGGTCTATAAAGACACCCCAAGTCATGAAGTAGCTTCAATTACTAAGGCCTCTCCCTCCCCCCAACCAATGGGGGATGTCTGACCTCACCAAGAAGTGTTCATTTTTAATTTCATCTGGACTAAAGGCAGGTTCTGTGGTCCCAGGGATTCCCCCCCATCCCCGCCACCTTGCTACAGTGATCTAATAGAACAAGTGTTGATGGGTGGCTCTCTGAATGTTCCCTACTACGTCCAGATGTGCCAGCCTGGCTGGAAGTATGCAGATTCAGTTGGCCAGCTTCCAGTGAGCACTTTCGTGGGCCTGACCTGGGCTGATGCTTTCACACACAGCAGAGGAGGTAAGAGATTGGTCCCATATCACTGGGGAGGAAACAGCAGAAAAGAGTTATCCAACTTGTAGGTAGCTGAGGCTACCCTTGATCCAGGCCAGGTTCTTACCACACCACTGACACTTCATCACTGAGGCACTGCATTTTTCCAGTATACTGCCTTAGGAATAAAACGAAGTTCTGGCACAAAATAGGTGGCTTTGCCTGGCATCTCTACTTCCTAAGAGCTGACCTGTTTAGAGGCAGGAGTTCTTAACACTCCTACTCAGATCACACAGTCTGAGCACGAATCCCAGCTTTACCACTTGTTGGCCAGTCCATTTCCGTTTGTCTCCTTCTCTGTAAAATGGAGAAATGGCATCCACTTTGCAGGGTGGTGACAAAGAGTGTGTAAAACACTTCACCCAGTGCCTGACACAGACCAAATGTTCAATGAAGGTCATGCTATGAGGACAGAATCCTTCAACAGTCATTGACTGGAGACTCCTGCGAGCCAACACCATGCAGAGGGCCCAGGTCAATCCTGTCTGCTGAGGACACATTACAAAAAAAAGCAGGTATGTACCCACATGCCTCTGGCAGGAAAAATGGCAGAAAACAGGTAGTTTTCTCCATAGACTGTGTCTCATGGCAGTCAATCTGGAGTGAGCTCATTTAACCCCACATCTGCGACCCTGGGAGTGACTATACGGAGCAGCACTGAGCTCCACTCTGTACAGCAGCCAACAGGGTTAGCAAGGCCCTGCCCAGGCAGGGATCATGTTGGGAGGCTGGGAAACAATAGGATAACATGTTAGGGGATCCCAGATGGTGACAGTGCCAGAGGAAAAATAAAGGTAGGTGGTACATAGTTTGGGATAAGGATGTGTGTGTGTGTTGGGGGGGTTGTAAGGAGGTTGGTTGTAATCTAAGACTAAATGATGACCACAGATAGGGTGGGGTGGCCTCGTAGATATGTTGGTGCATTTGAAGATGTATATGCCACACACTCTTCAGTATCCTGCTTTGTTCTCTAAAAATGCAATGTACAGCCAGGAGCATGGGAAAGTAGAGATAGAGGAAGTTTTAAGAGAAAACATTCCAGCAAAATTCCCCCAAGAATCATGGGAATACTGTTTGGAGTTAGGAGTGTGTGGAGGTAGAACCTGCTACAGAGTGGGATGATGATGTGGGAGGATGCTTGCTCAGGCTGGTTGGGAACTAGACCATGAAACCCAGGCCTCCTCATGCCCTGATAGGGGCACTGACCTGGGAAAGCTGGCAAAGAGCCCAGCAGGGGCCTGGCACACCACTGAACATGATCCTTTGACTGTGGAGTGTGGCAGCTTTGGAAGGAGGAGGAGGAGAGTGGTTCTGATTTGAGGGGTTTTGTTTTGACAGGTCTGGGGTTTGAACTTGGCTTCGCACTTGCAAAGCTTGAGCCACACCTCCAGTCTAGGAGAATGGTTCTGGACTGGAACTAGTTCTTGTGTGCAAACTGTTGGCAATAATGGCGCCAATAGGTTTCAGTTCTTACTGCACCCTTAAGCTTCTGTTTTCCAGGGTCACAGACCTGCCTCAAGTCTAGCTTGAATTCTCCTTCTGCCCCAACCTCCAATCAGCATGAACCATAAGATCCTAACCAATCAGATCATGCTGAGTCTCAGGGGTATTTAAGCCCCCCCCCCTTGGCTCTCTCCCTCTCCCACCCAGCAATAAAGAATCTCTTGGCCAGATCACTCCTCTCCACGTGGTCACTTTGGGGCCTACATTTCCAACATTTGGTGCCATGACTCGGATCGGGGCTCCCCACTAATCCTGGTGGGGCCCCGATTCTGACTCACCCCACAACCACCCTGAGGACGTGACTGGCCGGGACTCATCCTCCCAATCGCCCTTGCTTGCATCCAACACTGGACATTCTTTGGTGAGTCCACCTACCCTTCTTGGGCTCCCTTTGTGGTCCCTCCCTTCAGGGTCTCTGGGGTTTTAGAACACTTCCCCTGCTTTGGGCTACCTCTGGGTGGCTCAGACAGTAGAGGGATCCCCTTCTCCGCAGGGCTTGGATTTTACAGGGTCCAGGACCCTACAAAACCTAGGCCTAGGTAATCCAAGCCGCTGGCCTCTGGCCTGCAAACCGCCTGAACTCAGTGACGACTGATTCTCGTGCGCTTTGCGTTTTCTCAGATATTTGTGCTGCGCGGGGATGCTCCACAGTACATAATATCCTCTTCTCCCTATTCTGGGACCGGGTCCCTCATAATGGGTTCCTCTACATCTTCTCTGCCATGTGACTCCCCATTGAGATGCCTCCTCAATTATTTGGACACCTTGGGTTTGACCCCAGACATAAAACCAAAAAAC